ATTTTCTCTCAGTACTAATTTCACAGAGAAAAGATGGGTAAAATTACATGTATTTTTATTTAATATATAAAATATATATAGGGCTTTCATTTTTCCGTATTTTACATGTATTTCCTTATGTAACATAGAGAAAAAACAGAGGAAACAGTAAGTTTTGTCCCATTTTACACATTTTCTTTTCAAAGGTGCTTGACCTAATAATGTAAATAAAAAATGCCATGAGTTGGGCAGCTGAAAAACTACTATTAACGTAACCAGACCGTGTAATGAGATGATAGGAAGAGGACTGCAATAATGCTGGTATTGGCAATATAACTACATAGGTACTACCTAAAGTGTACAAGGAATGGGGTGACATGGGCTTCTTCCTCCTTCCCCCCACCCTTTATTTAAAAAGTAAAACTTGTTCCCGTGCTTGGACATAAGCCTTTGCATTTCATGGATTAGCTGAATGAAGTGAGAGCAGATGCTTTGTGAAGCAGCAAAAGACACTAACCCATGAATGCAGCAGTGAGATTTCCTTGAGCTGTGTGTGCTTTTATATTGGCAACCACGCTCAGCTGTGACTGCAGGCACTTTGGTATCCCACAACTGTATGCAGAAGTTAACTACAGGTCTGCACTGCAACTTAATAACACACAGCACATATGACAAGACAGCAGTGTGTAATTAAGGATACAGTGTGGAATGTTTATCACCTTGCAAGCACTTTGGGGTATGGCTCATAGTGACAAATGCCAATTCTAGGGTCACAGAAAATAAGCAAACACCTCTCAGAGATACGGGGCAAATCTGAAGAGAAGCTAAAATGAACTATTTGACTATTCTTTTTGTATGTTAAACTGTTTCCCTTTTCACAGTAGCTGTAAGGCAGTATTTCAATGTTAGAGTAATCTTTTGCTGTCCAAAATTAGAATTCCTTCCAAAGTTTCTCTTGTCTGAAAGTTTGCCTTCAACATCACATCAAATAAGATGTGAAAAATGTGTCCACTTTGATGCTGTTTCAGGAATTCTAGGATCTGGCCAAGATCTATGTGGTAGTCATTCCTCAGGACATAATCACCATGTGCCTGAAACTGCAGGTCTTCGAAAGCACGAAAGAGCCAAAGATCATTGATGCTTCCCTCCGTTTCTGTGTTCTCCACATGCTTGCATGAAATATGCTTCCAGTTGGGATACCTAACAACCCGCCAGAACTCTTCACAGTGTTCTCACAGTCCCTCCACACAGATGACAAGAGGTTTCCCTGTCAGGCAGAAGCCAGTCAGATTTAATTTCTTTGCACAGTCAAAAATCTTTCTCCTCAGTTCCTGCCTATATATATGATGGCTGTAGATCCACATAGACACAACGTTTCTTTAACTGCCACTTTTTCTGAGGCACTTTTAGAAGAGATCTTGCTGTTTTCCCAGTAAGGCAGGCTGTTGTCTTTCAGCCACTGCACAGCTTCACATATACACACAGCTCACCTGAATCCAAAGAGCTCATGTGAGAAGCGAGATGAGTGTTGAGCTCCAGCTGTTGCTGTCTGTGCAGCGCATCTGATCTTGTGAAAAGCTGAGGAGCTACATGGGGGTACGTACAAGGCAGCAGTACCTGCAGTTCCACTTTTCCCTTAAAAACCAGAACACACTCACAAAAGGAAAATTAATTCTGCAGCTACTGAAAGCCCTGTTAGATTCTTTGACCCTGTCAAAAGCAGGTTACAAGGAGATGTAATTAAGATTGCAGTATCCTTATGACTGGCATTATTTCCACTTTCCTTCTGTCCCCATAACGTATTTTTTGTCTGCTCCTTTTATTGCACCATGCTGTGACTATCCCAATGTACCTAATGATATCAAGGTTGCTCTCTTCTGCTGTTTAGAGGTACTGCTAGAAAGAAGGCACACAGTTACCTTCTAGGGATATTTCTAGCGCATGTATTCAGGATGTGCTCGGTGCTGCTACAGCAATAAACGAGAAGTCTGTCAGTCAAGGGGCAAGCGGCTTCTGAGAACCTTGTCCCTTACCAAACGCACAGCTGCCCAACAAACTCAGCCAACTCCCGGGATCTACACCAGGAAAACAAGGCCAAGAGTTATATGGGAGAGTGTTTATGATTAGAGGCACATGGCAAGGGGCTTGGAATTAGATGAGCTTTAAAATCCTTTCCAACCCAAACCATTCTATGATTCCATGCATTATTACCATTATTTTAAGCAAGTATTCATCCTAACAGAGGAAGCATTCTCATGATTATAGGGGATAAGAAGATTTACATGCATTTTAGCCAGGGAAACCTCTAGATTGGGTAAAATAATCTCCTACAAACCCTGGGCTGTTGAATTTCTCTTGATATTCCTACAGCGCCTTAAAATGGAGCACCTCAGTTCTTTGGCAACCAAGCCCTGCCTCTAGTCCAAGAGCAGGAGAGGATTCACAAGTCCTCAGTGCTTGGGGCACCCGTGTACTACCATTAGGGGACCTTCACTACAGTATACATCATATGATTAGTCCTGCAGAGAGAGAAGTGAATCATGAAATGACCAATTACCTTTCCAAGTTCCTTGACAACCTGCCATGGAAAAAAAATTTGTTCCTGCAGAAGCCCTCCCTGCACAGTTTATAAAACCTCTCTCTGAAGGACGGTAAAAGGGTGTGTTTTAAAGTCACCTAAGCTTGTACCTAAGTTTCCAAATAATCATGAGGTTGCGTCATTACCCAGTAAATTGTTCTAATGTTTAGTTGTCCTTACTCTGAGAAAAATGGCTTCTAGATTGTGTTTGTCTCTTCTCAATTTCCAGTTACTGCAGCATTATGCACTCAGACCTAAGTTCTCTATGCAAGTATTTGCATCACTTCATTGTCATATATGACCTTTTCTTGAAGCAGATAGATTACTGGAACTCCTTTATGCAGTAAGTTTTGTTTCCCTATTCATAGGCTGGCTTTGAGTGTGTGACTCTTCTTAATAGTATTCTGCCATTTGGGGCTATTTTTAACATTACCATATTTCAGATACAGATCAGTGAATTTCAGTACACTTGGCAAGGGGTCAAAGAGAGAACTTACTAGGGCAGTTTTCCTAGGATAATATAAAGTCCAACATATGTATTCCTACAGGGGCAGCATTGCCTTTGTAACACACAACTCTTTGTAAACCAGTAAACCAATAACCCTGATATAAGCACAACCCTAGTTAAATGCTTGTGAATGCTGCGCATACCATTGGTGCTGGTTGTCTATTCCTATCTGTGATTCTATTAGCCTTTCTTGCCCAAAGGAAGTTCGGACTCAAATAAATGATAAAAAACAATACTTTTTTTTTTGTTGTTACTCCTGACTTCTGAAGCAACAAACAGAAATTAGGTGGAGCTTTTTTTTTTTTTTTTTAGGGCAGAGTTTAAGTAAGTGTGTGCACAAGGAGTGAAAATGCAACACACATGGACACATACACATGGAATTTCTCACCTTTGCCTCTCCTACATCAATAGTGACTGAATATTCGAGCTGCGGGGGCAGAACTCCATCATCAGTGTTTCTCAGGTAGCGCTGCACGCTGGGGACAGCGTCCTCATTGAGATTTACTTCCCCTTTTTCGGGAAACATTGAAAGGAGCATTTCCACTTCTATGAGCTTGAGTTCCAGGCAACTCTTTTACTGTGACAGCCATTACGCTGCCCTCCACACACACCTGGAACAAGAGGGATTTAACACACAGTTAAGTTCAGCACCACACCACGCAACCCAACAAGCCGGCCTTCGCTGGGCAACCCCGTTACTTAAGGACAGAGGGCGGTTAAATAGCTAAAAAGCGCTTAGTCCCTTACAGGCATGTTCCACAACCAAGATGGAGATGCCTCCCCTACGCCGCGCGTTTCAACACGCCACGGTATAGCACAGACGCTACCAGGAGCAGAAGCGAGAGAAGGGAAGCGGGCTCCTCCTGCTGCCGCCTTCCTGGCGACGGACGCTGAGGGGACGAAGCGCCATGAACCTTTCAGCTTGGTGCCGCCACCTCAGCGCCACAGACGGGGCGCGCATGCGCAGTCAGCGGAGAGGGGCCGGTCCTGGCCCGACGAGGCCCGGTGTCACGGGGAGTTTTGATCTGTTAAAGACGAAAACACCCAGTCCTGACGTTAACGGCGGGTTTGCAGTTAACGTTTACAGCTCTCCGGAACGGCTGTACCGGGGAACCTGACAGCACGCCCCTTCCCACCTTCCCGACCTCCGCCTCCGCCGCAGGCTGGCGAGCGGCCGGGGCCCAAGTGCCACGTACGAGTACCGTGCCCGCCCTGCGCGCTGCCATTGGCTGGCCGAGGCTTGGGGGCGTGACCAGGCTGACTGGAAGGGGAGAGCGGCAGTGGCGGTAGGACCTGAGGGGAGAGCGGCTCTCGGTGAGACGGCGGAGGAGGGGGATCCGGTCCCTTTGGGCCCGGGTGGCGGTGCTGGGTGCTCCCCGAAGCCCGCAGCCGTGCAGGGAGGTGGCTGCTGGAGCTGTCTGTGTGGTTATGGTGGCCCGTGGCTGGCTGGCTGGCTGGCTGGCTCTCCCCGGTCTCAGGTGGCTGGGGCGGGGTGAAGGCTGTAGTGTTGGCGGGTGGGTTGGTACAGTTACCTTAGCAGAGCTGCGATGCTGGTAAAACATCAGTGTTGGGGGGTTCCCTAAGGGAGGACAGGCTGCTTCGGTACTCAGAAGTTAATTACTATATGGCCAAGTGCACCGAGGGGGCATGTTACAGGGAGAAATGGCCAGCCCTTTGCAATAGGTTTATTAGGATTCCCGGATCCAGCCAATTGGAAATTGTGGCTCTCCTCACCTAAATCACATCATCCCTTCGTGATCTGGTGAAGCTGTGTTTATCTAGTGCTGCACTGGGAATGTAGAGGCTCCTTCAAGGATTGGGTTGGTAGTGGTCCTCCTTTCAGTTCCACCAAGAGATTTGATAGGACAAGGGGCAATGGCTTTAAAATGAAGGAGGGTAGATTCAGATTAGACATTAGGAAGAAATTCTTTGCCCAGAGAAGCTGTGGCTGCCCCATCCCTGGAAGGGTTCAAGGCCAGGTTGGACGGGGCTAAGGGCAATCTGGTCTAGTGGAAGGTGTCCCTGCCCGTGGCAGGGGGGTTAGAACTACATCATCTTTGAGGTCCCTTCCACCCCAAACCATTCTATGATGCGAATGGTTTAAGATACCTATGGGCTTTAAAATAAAATAAATTGCAGAATGTGAAACTAAGTAAGTACGTCTTCACTCATTTGCATCTGTGTTACTTCCTTCTCTAGAAATGGATTGTGAAGCCCTTAAAAAATACTCATCATTACATCCTAAACCTGCTGGACTTACACTGCAGTATGGCACTGCTGGATTTCGCACCAAGGCCGAACAGCTTGATCACGTAATGTTCCGCATGGGTTTGCTGGCAGTTCTCAGGTCCAAAGCTGTGGCATCTACTATTGGCATCATGGTTACAGCATCTCACAATCCTGAAGTAAGAACAACTTTTCCTTTGAAAAGAAGGTAGATGTAATCAATCTGGTGAAGTCAAAGTTCTTCGTGGTACCAGGAGACCAGATCCTGAAGACACTTGGACCCACTTAAAGCATATGCTTGGCCTGCTCCCTGTAAATATCATCTCCAGCATGTTTGAAGTTACTTTTCCCTGTACCTACGGTTGTGGTTTAGACCCAGCCGGTAACACAGCACCATGCAGCTGTTTGCTCATACCCCCCTTTCTCATCTTTGTGGGATGGGGAGGAGAATTGAAAGAATGTAAACTCCAGAGATTGAGATAAGATCAGTTTAATAACTAAAGTACTAACTACTACTATCAGTTTAATAACTAAAGTAGTACTACTACTAAGCAAAATAACAAGGGGAGAGAATCTGAAACTAAAAGTGTAAGGAAAACAAACAATAAACACAAGTGGTGTACAGTACAATTGCTCACCACCCACTGACCAATACCCAGCCTGACCCAAGCAGCGATCTGAGCCTTCTGGGTAGCTTCCCCCCAGTTTGTATACTGGGCATGACATGCTGTGGTATGGAATACCCCTCAGGCTAGTTTGGATCAGGTGTCCTGTGTCTGCTTCCTCCTGGCTTCCTGTGCCCCTCCTCACTGGCAGACCATGAGACTGAAAAGTAGCAGAGTACCCTTGAGAAGAGATGAACCTTTGAGCACAATCTGCAAGTTTAAAAAATAAAGAGATGTAGCAGTTACAAATCAGACATTTAGATTTCTGCTGCTGCTGTGGAGCATTTGAGGTTATTAGAATCTCTATCTCAGATCAATTTCATACCAAAATTATACGGAGGAGAAAGTTGGTATATTAAGTATAATGTGCTGGTTATGTTACTCTGGGGGGCTTGAAGGAGGTTTAAGTAGACAGCTAAGCCATTGGTTCCCAGAAGTGCTCCCCATTTAAAACAGCAATATGATGGAATCACGTGCCGGCTGTCTTCAGAGAGATTTTATCAAGTTTCTCCCTTCTAAGCTTACTATCTTTTGTTCTGTTTTCTTCTAAGGAAGATAATGGTGTAAAGCTGGTTGATCCTCTTGGAGAAATGCTGCACCCTTCCTGGGAAGAGTATGCCACACAGCTAGCAAATGCAGAGGAGCACGAATTACAACAAACAATAACTGCGATCTGCCAAAAAGCAGCAGTGAACCAGCACAAGGATGCTTCAGTTTTTATTGGTAGAGATACCAGGTAATTCAAAATGCTGTGGAGGTATGCTGGTTTTATGGGAGTGCCGACGTTTTGTTCATCGGTGCTTTTGAATGTTCAGCCCTCTGCAGCCAGATTATGCTACTTTTTTTTCTTTATGCTTACTCTGCTACATGTTAATTTATGATTATAGCAAATAGAAAAAAGTTTTCCAATGCTGTTCCTGTATCAGCTTCCCTAATAGTTATGACCTAGCAATGTTTCTGGACAGGATGATTTAGTGTGGGTTTGGGTTATTTTTGATGGGTACGGTGCAACATCCACATCTATTCAGCAGTTTACTTGCCTTTGTAATTTTCTGGGGTGGTGGCTTTCAGGCTTCTATATTGGCAGGTGCCTACAATAGGTAAAAGTATAGAGTTCTTCATATTAAATCTAAGTCTAGTGGCAGGAAGCTTGTAGAGTCTTCTTCCACATGTGCTTCTTCCCCAAGTTCATACATCCGTGTCTCCTGCAGAGGTTAACAGTTCTGTTTGTTGTTTTCCAGGCCAAGCAGCGAGAAACTTTCACAGTCAGTCATAGATGGTATCTTTGTTCTAGGTGGTCAGTACCATGGTATGTTAAGCTTTTGCAATTCTAATCTGATGTAAATTTTATGTAAATGTGACTCTGTTATGCAGACCTAAACCAGTAGCCCAGATGTCGTTTCCATTTTTGCTAGTAATGATCTTCTTTCAGGGCAGTTGTATGGCTTTAATGCAAGGAGTGTGGGGGAGTTATTTTGTCCTAACAGAACCTGAAAACTTTCATATGGTTTTCCTGCACTGCATTTGTCTGTTTATTGAGAATAGCAAATACTGTGCAGCTTTTAAGGAGCAATTAATTTAGTATGCTATTTCTGAATATTGTGCCTTTATGCTAGATTATGGTCTGGTGACAACACCACAGCTACATTACATGGTCTGCTGTCAAAACACTCAAGGGCAGTATGGGAAAGCAACGGTGGAAGGTTACTATGAAAAACTGTCCAAAGCTTTTACAGAACTGATAAAACAGGTGAGTACTGGGTGTTGTCTTCTTCATGCAGATGTTCAAAATCAGTATCTTCTGTCTGTTATCCTGTCTGGATCTGAAGTTTTGAATGCAGCATGCCTCTAGTTGTGGTTTCACTAGGGTATGAATTCACTTTGCCCCTTCGTCCCTTGTGCTAAGTCTTCCAGCTCTGGAGAGAGTCAGAAGCACCTGAAGATTGACTGTGCTAATGGAATAGGAGCCCTGAAACTATCAGAAATGGAGCCCTACTTTCCAAAGGAGGTGCTAATTCAGCTATATAATGATGGAACCAAGGAGAAACTCAATCACTTATGTGGTGCAGATTTTGTGAAGGTTCACCAGAAACCCCCTAGAGGTACATAATCAGCAGTTTCACCTCCTTTCATGTCCTCTCCAGATCTGAAAGTGCAGGGTCTAGTAATGGTGTATCATCTTTGGGTGAGCTGAGCTCCCTGTTTTCATTAAGTGACTGTACGAATGGTTCTGCTTGTGCAATGGAGAGGATCGTACGCCTGGGTTTGACACATCCCTCGACTATGTTAATCTGAATGGTTTGGAGGAGCGGAGTACATCTCTGCCTGGCTTTGTTTGACAATCCGGTCTGAATGTTAAGATGGTGGAGGTGGTGACATGTATCTTGGTGTGCTCTGTGATGACTAAGTGCATGAGAAAAGGGGTGGGAGTTCTGCTGCTGCAAGGTTTTTAACTGACATTCAGCGCTTAGTTCCAAAATCTAGAGCTATGACTACACACAGTAGTTCTGGGACTTATTTTCATACACAGCTAGGGAAAGGTGTAGCATAATAAGTATTTAGAGAACCTGTTTTTTTGTTTTATTAATATTTATATTTTTGATGTGAATATGCACTGTTCAGTTGCATTCAATACAGCATCCCTGTTTTGATTCTCTTAATGAAAGCTATGTCTGTTTCAGAGCATTAGTTTTGTGTGTGCGTCTGCAGAGAGCCGATTTCCACATGAGATCCACACTGGCATTAATTTAAACATTTTGTATCTTTTTTTCTATCTCTTTCATTTGTAACTCTCTACACTAGGGCTGGACATGAAGCCCAATGAGAGATGCTGTTCATTTGATGGTGATGCAGACAGAATTATTTATTACTATCAGGATGCAACTGGCCTTTTCCACCTAATCGATGGAGATAAAATAGCAACTTTAATTAGTATCTTCCTTAAAGAACTTCTTGCCAAGGTAATTCTAACATAGAAAATTAATGTTGACACTTTAATTTGTAAAGTGTAAAATAGTGTAAGGACGTTGTATTAATTTGTACGTATGTGGTCTCTACCTCTGTCTAAAGTGAATGCAGTTTAAAGGGAGATCAGTCCTGAACCTCATTTTTAGGGCCAAATGTTGTTTTTACAAGGAAATGACTTCCATACTCCAAATAAAAATCTGAGCACTGATTTTTTTTCTTTAACCTAGAAGCTTTTCTTAGGGGGAAAGAACTTTTCCAGTTTCAGTGTACTAAGTATTGATATTCCATTCTCTTAGTTTTGGTATCTTTCATGTATTTTGGGTTTAGTCCTTCTCTCAGCATTTTTGTGAAGCTTTCAGTTTTTTTGTGGGCATTCCATTTGCATGAGAACTTGGTTGTGGCAGCCAAAGAGTTTGTATGTCCTCATTCCAAAATCCTTATCTGCCATATAGCATCCTTTCCTCACAGGAGATAGAAAAAGCTTTTCTTTTTCAGAAGTCCTCTTAGACTTGGTGTCTGTGATACCAAACCTACACAAGGTCTCCTGGTTTTGTGCTCTTGGAGACCAGCTTGTTTCTTACCCTGTGGCAGAGAAGCTGGCCAGTGAGGAAAACTTGTGCTTGCCACCAGCCTTTGCTTGCTTTGCACTGGACGCTTCAATATTACTGCTTGTGTGTATGGCCTCATGCAATGCCATGTGTGTGGCCATGCATTGACCTTGCTGAATTTGAAAAGGGGGTTGGAAAGCCTTAAACTGCTTTATGCCATCCACAAAAAAATGTGATATACAAAGACTTGAACAGAATTAATTTGTCTTAAACGTATAGAAGTTATCTGTGAGCTGTTGCCTTCGTCTGGTGCCTAGGAGTTTTACGTGTCAGTAGGAGAACCTGTGTTTAATGATTCTGATTACCTTTCCATTTATCCTGGTCATCTGGCTATGTGCCTATTGGACAGTAAAGCTGTTTGCTGCTCGGTTTGCTCAGGTGGGACAGACTTTAAAGATGGCAGTGGTACAGACAGCGTATGCCAACGGGAGTTCCACACGCTATCTTGAGGAAACACTGAAGGTATTCTCCTTTTTTTCCTGGTAGTTTTCTGCAAAGGTTGTTTACTGCAAATTTGTTTACTCTTAAAATAAATGCTACTATACTATGATTGCTAAGATTTAAAGTAGGCTAAAATAAATGACTCTTTCAAACCTGCGGAAGTGACTAAGTTCATGGTGGTAAAGGAGACACAAGAGAACAGAACTGAAAAAGTTCTGGTCAGCTTTTACTAGTTAAAAAAAAAAGTTTGGCAAAAGCTAAACAGAATCCCTTCTTATTGCTAGAACAAGTTGAGGACTTTGTAGCAAACACATAAAGTGAGCAGTTAAGGGCTCATTGATACTTTGACACTGGTGGTTTAATTTTTTGCAACAGGCTAAATGTGTTTCACTACATAAATTGAAGTAAGGTGGTATTTCAGCTTGCATAGAAAATTGGGTATGTTCCTTGAAACCTTAAAACGAATTAAGTTTTCTTGGCTTGCAGGCTTGTTTATTAAAAAAAATATCAGCCTTGAAGAAATCTTCTTTTTAATTGGGTCTGCAGAACTAGGGGATAGTTCTAGCTGTGGGGAGTCACTACTTGTGAGACACAGGTTGGTTTGTAACAGTCTGTGCTGGGTGGTGCTCAGTTGCCAGCACTTCGCCTGTGGTTCCTGCCTACTGCAGAGAGTCTGTAACATTTACCTTTCTCTGCTGCAGGTACCTGTGCACTGCGTTAAAACAGGAGTGAAACACTTGCATCACAAGGCCCAGGAGTTTGATGTTGGTGTTTATTTTGAGGCAAACGGCCATGGAACGGTGAGTATGAGCATGTAATGCTCTGCCAATACGTACAAAAAGTTAGCTGGATCAGCTAGAGAAGGAGGTCTTTTCACTCTGTGATTACATTTATAAATGAAATGTCCTGTCCTTGTTTGAGAACAGACTTGTTTCCTCGTTCTGTCTTTATCATAGCATTGCCACTAATTCCTCTGTTTTATGTGGGGATTGAAATTCATGGTAGCAAACATTAATGACTGTTATTTTGGCTTAAACAGTAAAAGTATGCTGCACATACCCTAGATTGTGACATAGGCTGATCTTGACATGTTGTTATTGTTTAATTCTAGGTGTTATTTAGCAAAGCTGCTGAAATTAAAATAAGACAACTGGCAAAAGAGGAGAAAGACAATGAAAAGAGAGAAGCGGCGAAGATGCTTGAAAACATGATTGACCTGATTAATCAGGTAAAAACTGAGAGAAACAAATCACCGTGGTCACAGCCATGGGGCTAACACTGTGAGTATCAGTCAGGCTAACGCCGGGGCCTGCTGTGCAGGAAGAGGGTTGCCATCATACAAGGGGCCAGGAAGAAAAGGGCAGGCACAGTCATCTCTCTTTAGAAAGTTGTAATGGTTTCTCAGTGAGTGGATGTAGACTGCTTTCAGCTGGTGCAGGCTTCTGACATCACCACCCAAAGAGGGAACAGGATAACATGGGGTCCCAGTGATAGGATGGGACTTGTTCATGATTCAAGAGCAAGTCATCTTTTGTTTGATGTTTTTCACTGAGGGGGAATGGGAGGCTGGGGGTGTTCCAGCACCCATGCCCACGCAGCCCTGGGAGTGCCTGTCTTAGCACAGATGTTATTCATCTGGGGCAGTGCCAGCTTTAATTGTCATGACCCCAGAACAAAGGTGAGGTGCCAGTCCTCCTTAGGAGAGGCGAGGACTAGCACTTGTCCTTGGCATAGCAGTACAAGTTTGCTGCTGTCCTCCTTCTTACTTTGTGGTAAGGAGGAAAAACCAAAACACTCCCCCAGATGAACCAACCAAAATACCTCAGCTACCCAGATTGGGACAGGTCAGCCTGGCTGCATTTTCACTCTTTTCAGCTGAGAGGCTACTGCCTTCATTTCTTCGCTGTTGCTGCTTCAGTGTCTCTTCCCTTCCTGTTAACAGACTGTTGGAGATGCTGTGTCAGACATGTTGGTTATTGAAGCAATCCTGGCTTTGAAAGGTCTGACTGTGCAACAGTGGGATGCTGTCTACACTGACCTTCCAAATCGGCTGCTCAAAATTCAGGTGAGTTACATACCATGCTGGCTCAAGTGACAGCAGGCTCTTGGGGCCCTGCCCTGAGCACCTCTTGCCTGCATCTATTTAGATAACCTTTAGTTTAAAGCTGGAACAGGGCAGAAGGCCAAACAAGCCATGAAACCACCCAAGGAGGGACCAGAATTTCACTTGGACTAAGATACGAATTGTATGAATGATGAAATAGTGGCCAGCTGTGGTAAATGGAAAAACCTGACCAAAGCTGTTCAAATTTTGACTTAGAATTTTTCTCTTAAATTTCAGATTAGAAAAATCCTGTTTTTCTAAGGCCCCTACTTCATGGCAGCTGGATTTTTCTTGCTGTGCCACTTTGTATAATTCAAGTATTGAAGCTCTTCTTTATCTTTGCAATATTCAGACAAAGAGCATAAGCCAAACGGGTTCCCATGTGGCAGTATTCTGTTGGATGCAGCGAGGGAGCTCTGGGCTCTAAATTAACCAGAGGACAGAGCTTAAGTTTTCTGATCTAGTGGAAGAAGATGCAGTTTCAGCTCAGAGGCTGGCCAAGGGGACATGTTCAGAACTGAGCCCTTTTCGAAACCAAGCAGCTGAGTCCTATCAGGACTTGGTTAATACATGCTGAGCAGAGAGCCTAGGGATCCCAAAGTGTTAGTTTAGCCCCAAATGAGCTCTTCTTCAGGCAGTGCAGTGCATCAATACCTCAAGTTCTGTCTTACCTGTGACCTTTTTCATTCTGCTGTCACTGTACAGCTCCAGCACACAAATAAATTGGCTGCTTCTGATGCTGCAGGTTGCAGACAGGAGAGTCATTGACACAACAGATGCAGAACGGCGAGCAGTTACACCCCCAGGACTGCAGGAGAAAATTGATGCCCTTGTAAAGAAGTACAAATTGTCACGAGCATTTGTCCGTCCATCGGGAACAGAAGATGTGGTTCGAATATACGCTGAAGCAGACACACAGGTCAGAGCCTAAACAACTTGTGTATGAAATGATGTCAAACAATATTCTGCTTAGCACTGGGTGATGGGAGGAAGTAGTATGTTTACATACTCCTCATCTAATCACACTGAACAGGTGCTAAACTTGGAAAGCAACTTAGTGATCACCAGAAGTCTCTTTGGATTTTCTTTTATTTATAAAAATGATATAAAGAAGAAGTTCTTTACTGTGAGGTGGTGAGGCACTGGCACAGGTTGCCCAAAGAGGTGGTAAATGCTCCATCCCTGGCAGTGTTCAAGGCCAGGCTGGACATAGCCTTGGACAACATGTTTTAGTGCAAGGTGTCCCTGCCCATGGCAGGGGGTTTGGAACTGAATGATCTTAAGGGCCTTTCCAAGCCAAACCATTCTGTGAATCTGTGATTCTATATTTAATGTTCTTAGTGTTTATCTTTAAAAGTTAAATGTTTAGAAAGACACATTTGACAGTAGATGCTTTGAAAAGAAAATATGCTTTCTGAGAACTCTTTTTTAGGAGAGTTATGAAAGAAGCCCCAACCACACGATTTTGTAAGAGGCGAAATGGAATAAAAAAAATAAGCAAACTTTGGCTCCTGTTAAGAATTAGTCCACATATGAACTGAAAGTTGGCAGCAAAAGCAGCATTCCAGCACTTGCCTGGAAATGCTGCTGTAATATCACAGATTTGCTCTAAGCTCATGCTGACACCAATGTAACCAGCTTCTAAAATGTTCCACAGGAGAATGCGGATGCCCTGGCCCATGAAGTAAGCCTGGCTGTTTACCACCTCGCTGGTGGAAAAGGAGCACCACCCCAGCCCATATAACGAGTGATACAACTGCAGTTAACATTCATTACTTGACTTATTTTTAAATACTCCTTTCTTTACCATTTGCTAGTGTGGACATACAAAATCCTTCCTGAGAGCAGAAAGAATTGATCAGAACTGAACAGAATATTCTTTACCTCTATAAGCAACTTACCTCTTAATGAGATGCTGAATGTTTCCCTCCTGCCCTGAGTTTGTCTAACTTCTGAAGCTGGTGACTCCCTTCTTGATAGGCAGGGGCCTAGTTGTGCCTGTAAGGAATTCCACCTCCCACCCAGCTTATTTCATAGGTTCTTGTCATGGTGTGCCTGACATCCAACTCCCACACCCTCAGAAAGCTGGCAGCAGCTGCGTTTGACTCTGCTTACAGATCCCCACATTTCCCAGCAACCGAATCATCTAGGAGCAAACTGAGTAAGGCAGAGGCTGGTCCCCAGGTTCAGTTTGCCTCAGCTCAAGAGCCTCAGCTCAACATAATGAAAAAGAGCATTTGCAAATAATAATGTATTACTGCAATAATATCTTCATTAGATACTTTCATGAAATTAAAGTATTGCTTAGAAAGTAATTCATAGTAATAGCATTTATAATCACATTGAAGAGGGAAGGAAGAGACAAGTTTGTCTTCTTTAGGTTAGATGTAATGAAATGGATCTTTACTGTGAGGGTGGTGAGGCCCTGGCACAGGCTGCTCAGAGGAGCTGTGGCTGCCCCATCCCTGGCAGTGTTCAAAGCCAGGTTGGATAGGGCTTTGAGCAACCTGGTCTAGTGGAAGGTGTCCCTGCCCATGGCAGGGGGGTGGAACTATATGATCTTCAAGGTCTGTTCCAACCCAAACAATTCTGTGATTGTGGCCCTTTCTACTTGCCAGCAGTGCAAAGGGCTAGGGCCAAGGGGATGTAATACTTTAAATACACACCTACCCTCTGCATATTTCAGTTCAGGGTATCTACCTCTGACAAACAGATTTTTCAGTGTAGTCCTGTATTAACTCCTGGCATAATGGCATTTTCCTAAGTAAGCACAAGTTCCAATGGGTCAAAAAAGACAAAAATAAACTGGAAACAAATTGAAAAAATGTGCACCTTGTATTTTTTAGGATTTTTTAAAGACAGAACTCAAGACAACAAAACATGTACTGTAAATAGTAGGCACCATAATCAATATGAGCCACCAATATTTAAACTTGATTCAGGCCACATCCAGAACTTCTCTCTTATTTACAAATATTTAACTTAAATACAACATTAAGTATTTCATTACATACAAAGTAAGAAAAGAATACTATACAACTGGGAAAGATACAGTATTTCCTTTAAATAGTTACACTACATATAAGCTGAGCGGTACTGGGTCGGTTCATGTTTTTATGATACCTTCAAGAAAATCCTTCTCCACCATTTCTTCTATCTTCTGTCTTGCTTTGCTGGAGAGCTTAAGGTTCTCCATTTTTATGTCCTTAGTTGGAAAGCAGTTGGGGTAAAGGACAGGGCTCCCTGAGTGTCCAACACATCTGCTTGTGACTTTGCTGTTGAAAACCTGGCTGAGTACATTGAAGAAAGGCAAAAGTTGCTCAATGCTGCGAACAGTGTAGATGGTTAAAAGCAAGTGGCCTGGTTCCCAGCTTAGTGTTTTCCCTGAGCTGTCGTCCTCTGGGTTTTTCTGTAAATACAGATAAATGGGAAATAATACAGGACAAAAAAAGCACTAGTAAAAATAACACTGAGTGCACTGCCTCAGCCTGGGGCTGCCCTTGGCACCTGCCCCACTGCCCCACAGAGATGCTGCCGGTGCAGCTCCTGGTGCTGGCTAATGCCAGCAGGCTGAGCTGGCCATAGCCAGTGGCTATGTGGGGCTGTGGCTGTGGGGGGGAAGTTGTGTCCTCCTGCTGCCGCTTCCCACAGCAGGCTGGTCTCTGATCACTCACACTTCACCCTAGTGCAGCATTTGTGACAATAAACCCCAGAGGAAGTTAAAACAGAAATGAAGGATTTTCACTTTGAAGCTGGAGTTCAGAGTTTTCAGTATCTTTTAGTACCAGAAATAACACACATGGAGGCTCTGAGCAAACACAAGTTGTCCTCAGAGGAAAACGGTTCAGTTGCTCATTGTGTGTTCTCAGATGACCTCAGTTACATACACACCTTCCATTTCATGGAGGAATTTCAAGGGAGAGAATTTCAGGAACCCTACCAGCAAAGGCAGCAGTCACACACCAGATGCTCTCAGGCAGTGTCAGCATTCTGCTGTGACCCTGTTTAGGGTTGCCTTAACTATGTGTGAACTAAAATAACTGAGCACTAACATCCAACTTCTTGTAACTGTAATCTTCATTCATTTCCTTTTCTTCTTTGAATCAAAAAAGATGTTAAAATCTAGACAATAAGATGCTATCACCACCAGAAACACCTTGTTTGGTCTGTTACTGACAAACGACTTGGGAAAGCTGTTACTGTGAACCAGAGTTCTAGCGATACTGGGTTTTATTCCAGGAGGAAGGAGAAAAGAAGCAGAAAGGCCACACCAAGGAGAGCCAAATCCTGATCCACTTCTGCTGAGGAAGGCATCCACGGCCCCTACAGGTCCCAAAGAGCAGGCTTTGTATTAGAGTATTTTAACCTGGTGGTTTGGCTCCCTGTCACAGAAGATTACTATTCTTGTTCTGAGCCCCAGGAAAAGAAAGGCTCACAATGAACTAGAACAAAAGCAAGTCTGAATTCCAACACAGAAAGAGTTCTTGATGCCTCCCACTTTGAATAAAGCTACCAGTTTTCAAAGTTTATCCTTTAAAAACATCATGTATGACTGAGAAGAAAGGCTTTTCAGCACTTCTTCTCTACTACACTTTGTATCACCCAGTGGTGAGCACGGAGTGCCTTCAGCATGCAGCAAGTGTCAGTGTTCCACAGCACCAAGTAAGTGGGCTGCAAATGCAAATACTAATTCTCCATCTGCCCAAGCCATTTCCTCAGGGCAGGATCTGCTAAGCAAACAACACTAACTACTCAGATACTTGACAGTTATTTTGGCAGAGACCTGTTAGGGATTTTGCTTTTCACAACTGCTATTTGGCAAAAATCAGTATTTAATTTTGCAATGATTTGCAATCATAATTCTCCTTAGAACTAACATTAACTTTTTGTAATCTATTTCACATGGGAAACCAACTTAAAATTTTAAGGTTATCTACAAAATTAAGGGCCCTCATAATTCTCTCACTTCAAAAGTCTCTCAACTTTGTCTCCTACTGTAAGTCTGATCCCTCTCAGTTCTTACTGAAAGCTAAATACTGCCCAGGGCCTTGAGGTGATGGTAGTTTTAATGGCAAGCTTGTTTCACAACTCAAGCATCAAAGGCCACCCTCACCTGATGCTTGGCCATCTCCATTCCCTCCAAAACCACCGTCTTAAAGTCCTCCTGTTTGTCCTGTGGAAGGAAAGAGGAGAACTTTCAGACTGCATTTCATATATCAAAATCATACTTTGCCGTGAAGGCCGTGCGGTTGCTTGGTTGGGTGCTGTGCTTCAGATGGGAAAATCACCCGTCCCCAGAAAGTCCATAGCCCAAAAATGGCAGACTCTGGAGCTTGTGTGGCCAAGACACTGTTTGACAATAACAGCGCTGCCAGTTTGTTCCTCTGTTTATTGCCAGTAGTGCTGAAGGAGGTTTTTAAGCATGTTTCCTCCAGACAACAGAGCCTGAGCAACATCATACTGCATGAATCTAAGCATTGGTCAGAGTGCCCTAAAGGAAAACTAAGACCCACTGGAACATTTTGCTCAGAAAGTTATTTCCAAGAAAAACCCACAGCTACATGTAACAGTATTCTCCTCTACACAAAGAAGAAATGGCCTGGAAGTCAATACTCATTACTTCATGTTTACCTCATCATACCCCTAGATACAGTTCACAATGTGCAACTGCTGCCGTGACTAGGGGGTTCCAGGAAATTCTCTGTTATTGAACCATACTGGGAAGTCCTGACTTCAGATATCCATCTCAACACACATTACTTACCAGCATTCATATTTTATACATCATATGTAATTTGTAATTCGTGCAGAGATTGTCTGGAGCATGACAGCTTTCTAACAGGTATGACAGCACACTACAGCAAACGGCAGGGTTAGAGGCTATGCCCGACTAGCAGTCAGTTAAAACTGGTTATTCCTTTATATATGTGAGAAGAGAAATTTAGTCCCATCTTCATGGTTCCAAAACAATTAAATGAGGAATGCAGATGTGCTTCAGATACTTGTTTTATCCCCTATAGTTCTCAGCCTTGCTTGAATAGTTCAGATCTGCCTACAGCTGTTATCCCTAAATTTTATGTAGCCACTTATATGTCAGTAGTTTCTTTAGTCAGTAAAGACATTAGAGATTGTAAATTCAGCAGCTACAGTAAGCTGTCAGTGCTACAGCCCTGAAAATGCAATCTGTTTGGAGGGAAATCCAAGAACGTAGCTTCAAAGCTTTCTCACATACCACTTCAAGCTTCATCCCTGTTTCCCTGCCCACCCAGCAACCTTTCCTGGTAAAGCACATGCCCAGGGGGGCTCTGTTCTCAGAGCGGGAAGAACAAAGTAGCTGACAATGTTCTGTCTCTGTGGCAGCAGAAGAGAACTCCCAGGGACAGGGCTTGGCCAGCTCCTGCCAGGTTCATTACTGCATCAGGTCCCACCTCACAAAAACTAGGGTTTAAAATACCTACCTCATGCACCAACATAACAACTCCAATTCCACTCCCACCCTAGAGACTGCAGCCAAGATCCCCCAGAACCATTTCTACTGCTCTCTGCCTTCACTTCATCATGACTGCTTCAGAGAAGGAACACAGCCCTCCTTGGCCCTGCAGAGTCCCAAAATTCTTGGTTCTGTTATGTTTAGGAATGCAAGTTTTCTGAATGTTTAAATGTGATTATTATTAACAAAATTGCTTTTCTACTTCTAAAGGTTGTTATACTAGTACCTACATATGTGACTGGCTATCTGAAAGTGATTTTGTGTTACATATATTAGACAGTGAAGCATATTTTACTTTTTTCTCAAATAATACTAATAATAATTTTAATTGGGAACTCCAAAGCCACCGATCATAGTCTTTTATTTGACCATAAAAGGTTTGGGGTCTTTTGGTTGGTTTAGGGTTTTTTCAGCTTATGTACTTGGCAGTCCTGAGGCAATGGCTGGATTTCGTGATCTTAAAGGTCTTTTCCAACCTAGCTGATTCTATGATTCTGTGTGATTTTTCCCTGATGCTGACTTGAGATTACTCCAGTGGGAATCCCTCACACCAGATAAACAATGAAGAATGGAAAAGAGTTTAAGAAAATATCCAAAACGAAGCAGTGCTGTAAGTTACTGTACATGAAAGTTTTCAGTGAAAAGCAGAACTGGAAGAAAGCAACGTACCTTTGCTTTTTTGCGCAGCAGTTTTGCTAGACGCACCACATATGGTTTGAATTCCCTCTGATGTGTTCCCTGTCTTCGTACTTCCAAGCCTGAATCATCAGACGCTTCCGGAATAAAAGCCCAACGATACCTGTCATAACACAAGCAGACAGTATCCTTACTGAACATGTAGCTTTTTCTTCCAGATCAAAAAATATCAGTGGATGAGGAAATGTAGTTAAGTATCAAAGAAAAGGCTGGGGCGGGGGGGGGGGGGGGGAAGGTGCCGGGGAAAGACACACACATGAGCAGAACCCATCCCCACAGGAAAATCAGACAAGAAAGAACAGGAGAAGCACATTCTGAAAAGCGGGAGGTGAAACCCCCAAGACACTGTTGATTTCCTTTAGAGTTTCTTTGAAGTATTTAAGGATATTAAGAGTAAGACAAGGCAGTGAAGCTAAAACAAGTAATATTCACATCTTCATTGTGCGCAGGAGAACTGGGGGGCAATTTTGAATTATAAAGTATGTAAGTTACATAGAACGTTTAGCTGTGTATTTGCAATGCTTATGTAGCACAAAAAACTTCCTCAATATACTTTGTTGCTAATAGAAACTCATTTATTTTTACCTATTCATAGACCAACAAGACCAAATGCACCATTCCATCCACTCCCATGCCCTC